GTAGACCCTTCCACCTCAGAGGCAGTCCACCTCATATAGAGGAAGATGGACCAACCTGGGACTCTTCCCAGGGACACTCAACTCTTAGATGGCAAGCCCTTGGCTATGTGTCTTATCACCCCATAGCAGGGGGCATGCAATTGTCACCATAGCAAAGAGACGCAGCATACTATACCCCATGGGGGAAGGTAGCCACATGAGGATTGCCCTTGTGAATTCTGCCCCTTAGAGGGATCCATCCCTATTGCTCACCCGTCATCCAATAGCAGAGACCATCAGTCACTCCTGCCAGACTTATACCTGCTTCTGTTTAGGCACCAATCGTGTTACATGGCTTATCTAGAGGAGACATGAACAAACATGGTTTTCCCTCAAACAAGGCATCAATGACAAACCAAAAACACTCCTATCCAAGTCTAGCTTGCTGAAACAGGAAGTTCACTGGAGTACTAACAGGAGCACAGACAAGAGTGTATTTATAGGCACATGGATAATTTAACAGCTGCATACTGAAAAGTCCATTTTAACATGAGGGCTGACACAAAAGCTGTATCCATGGAGATCTTTGCTAAGCTACCAGACAACTCTCCAGGAGTCTCCTGTTCCTCCGCATTATTTATATAACCTCGAGGGAGCAGGGATTGATAGTCTGGTACCCTTAGGCTTCCTCAGCTTAATAAAGTTCATTAGCTTCCTTAGTTGTTTTAATATATGTATATGAATATATATAAATATATATACATACATATATAAAATATGTATATATTTATAGTTATGTAAATATATTATTTATATTTAAATATATAAAAATAAATGTATAAATATCTATATATATGTACATATACATATATATATATATATATATATATATATACACACACACACACACACACACACATATACACACATATATATGGGTATTTTCCCTGTGTGCAACTCTGAGTATCACATGCATGCCACACCCTCAGAGGCCAAAAGAGAGTACCCTAAGAATGAAGTTATAGATGGTTGTAAGCCACCACGTAGGTACTGGGAATTGAACTAGGGTCTTCTATAAGAGCAACAAGTGCTTCAAACAACTCTCCCTCCAGCTTTAGTGTCTTTAGTCTCAAAAGCCTCTCTCCTCCCTCGAGGTCGGAATGCTGCTGTTGATAGGAAGCCCCACCTTATGTCCCAGACAGGCACTGAACTCGTGACAATCTTTGCATCCACTTGGTTTCTTTCCTCTTTCTTAGAAGTGTGGCCACACCTCCTTTGTAGTCAGCTGTGGCCTTTCAATTAACTTCCAGCCCCAGGACAGATGTGAAAGTGAACTTGAAGGGTAAGTAGGGTTGCTATCAGGACAAACCATGAACCCTCCCACCTAGGATCTTCAGTGAACACCATGTGAGACAGTCCCTTAAAGCCTAGTCCAAAGATTCTGGGGTACACTCACTTTTGTTATTTCAGCGACAAATGGGAATTCGAAAGTGTGGAGGGTTAAGAAGTAGGGACAGGGACAGCAACAGCAAGCTTCCAGGAAGGAGCTTGAAAGAGGTAGGACAGAAATGAATGCTATATTCTCCTTGGATCCTGTCCAAAGACAGAACATTAAGTCAGGAGGTCCCAGGAGTCACACTTGACAGAGAAAGTTCTGGTTGCTGGTGGCTCTTGTGTTATCCTGCACCGTAGGCTCTTGTGATTGGTTATGGAACAGTAATGGTGCCCCTGGGACCTGGAAGACCTGGCAAACCTCCCTGGCCTGGTGGATACACAAATGTGAATAGGCAGCAATCCTCACAGGACACCTTTGCTGTGAGGTTTCAACCCTCCTCAGGTGTACAGAAATAGATGGGGAGTCACAATGATCTGCGTACACCATGCTTATTTCTTAAACAGTTCAGATAACATCAACAGATAGAGTATTTTTTTTTCTGCAGAAACAATGTAAGCAGGCCATAGCTATAGATGGTCTGATAAACTATTTATAGGAAACATCAGAAGTTGCATACTAATCAAAGTATAAATGATAAAAGACATCTTCACACAACACAAGATAAAGCTTTCCAGGGTGTCAAAGTAAAAGTAGGACCACATGTAATCTCTAACAAATGTGCATCAGGAGGTCCCTAGGATGGGAATCACAGAGTCGCTGTCCCGACAGGTACTGCAGGGTATCAAGCTGTGGACTGGCCAGAATGCTAAAGCAGGTTACTTCAAGGTTGAATGGAGACCATTTCAGGATCCTGGGAACTTTTATGAAATGGTCCATCCTTGTTGACAGAGTTTGAATGTCTGTGGTCAATCAGACCCCTGGGCACACAGGACATTCTCTCTCATTCTCTGGGGCTCTATGTAGGTAGTGGCTGAAGACAGCTTCATTTATAGTCCTGGAATCATAAGAGACAAAATTGAGAGTCTTAGAGCCATTTTAAAGTGTCTCCTTTCAGCCACTGCCCACAACATCATCTCCATGAACCAAAGCAGCGTGCAGCGTTTAGAAAGAGTGTCCAAATTATATCAGCTTGGAGAAAACATACTGCTGGCATGTCTTCTTATCTGTTCTAAATATTCTGCTGTCCCCTAATCATGATGAAGCATTGCGGGGCGGGGGGGGAGCTTATTATCCTGTTCTGGTATAGGGAGACAGTACTCTGAAGGGCTCCTGGGAAAGACCCAGTATTCTTCAGGTCAGGGCAGTGTACAGGAGACCCAAGTTAGAGCAGTGATATCCAGCGGAAAAAACATGGCCTTGCCTTTATCCTCAGACAGCTGCAAAATCTTACTATAGCCAGGAGTGGTGGCTCATGCTCACCATCCCAGAGCTTGAGAAGCTGAGACTCAAGAACTGCCATGGGTTCAAGGCCAACCTGGGCTACATGGTTGTGGTGGTTTGAATTTAAATGGCTCCAGTAATCTTGGGAATTTGAATCCTTGGTCCCCAGTTGTGGGTGCTGTTTGGGTTAATTTGGGTGTGCAGCTTTGCTGGGGAAAGTGCTTGGGGCAGGCTTTGAGACTGACAAGCCTCAACCACTTCCACTCCACCCACCTCTCAATTCATGTTTGCATTTAAAAATGTGAGCTCTAGGCTTCCTGCCCCGGCCACCATGCCGTCCCACCCTAGTGGCCTCTAACTCTCTGGAACTGTAAGTCCAAATAAACTCTCCCATGTAGCTTTTGGTCATAGTGTTTTATCACAGCAACAGAAAAGTTAACAATAGGGAATTCCAGGTCAGCTTGGGCTACAAAGTGAGACTCAAAAAATAACAATAGACACGAGGAAGAGGGGAGTGGAGTGGGGAGGGGAAACTAGGTTACTTAGGTTCCCAAATTGATTCCCCAACTTTTCAAGAGCATACCAGTAACAACAATGATGGTGCCCCATGAGAAAGTAAAAAACACAGCAGTGTGTGTGTGTGTGTGTGTGTGTGTGTATGTGTGTGTGTATGTGTGTAGCTTGTTTTTTGCTCTATAAAGCAGGTTCCCACCCACTCAGAGTGATTGCCTTCTATCTACTTGTCTGATACACAGTCTGGTGTGCCCATGTGTGTATGCATGTTTGCCTAGAAGGTAGCTCATGTAACATCTGCCCTGCTGAGCAAAGGGATTGTTACTCACAGCTCTCTGAGGCTCTCAAGCCAATGGACAAGATGGTCATGACTACAGGCCTTCAAACAGTGCTCAGGTTCAGCTGAGCCATGGCTCCTTCATTTACATGTGGGGAAATGAGGCCTGGACGGACAGCTCAGCCCGCATCCCCTCCCCTGGCCTGGACCAGCATGAAGCATAACGGTTCTCCTTTGGTTGGAAGCAAGTGAGCTCCAAGGCTGTCAGTGGGGAGGGGCTTTGTTGGACATCACCACCTGAGGGGTGTATCTAACATGGCTGTAGTTGGCTCTGGAGGAAGCTGACCCTGGGAGGACCCAGCAGCTGCATGAATGCAGAAGAGTCAATGTGGTGAGTGGTATCTGGGGTGACGCATGATTCACACATATCCTGGGTTACTTCCTGTACTGGTGGGCTACCTGCCTTCAGAATGCTCAGCCCTAGCCATGGAGACAAGAGAGAAGGAGAACGTGGAATCCCAAGTGAGGAGGAGAGAAATCAGGTTCACCAACCCAGACTCTGAGTCATGTGAGGCCCCAGGAGATGCCATCTGCCTCCAATTCTCCATGTTCAACACAAATCACAGTTACCCTCTATGTTACACGTATACACACACACACACACACACACACACACACACACACACACACGTCTTCCTGTCTTAAGCTCTATTTAATATTTCTTGCTCTAACCCTCTTCCAACATGAAAAAAGAATCAAGAGAAGAGCTGGGGTAGAGGTGGATATCGGGATTATGGGAGTGAAGAGTGGGTGCCAAGGAGAAGCCAGCCATCTGCAACAACTTCTCCTGGTCATCGAGTGAGGCCTCCTACATTAGAAACCAAAATGTGACTTCACCCAAGGTGTGTGTCATAGTTAGGGTTCTACTGCTGTGAGCAGACACCATGACCAAGGCAACTCTTATAAGGACAACATTTAATTGGGGCTGGCTTACAGGTTCAGAAGTTCAGTCCATTAGCATCAAGGTGGGAACATGACAACATCTAGGCAGGCACGGTCCAGGAGGAGCTGAGAGTTCTACATCTTCATCTGAAGGCTGCTAACAGAATAGTGACTTCCAGGCAGGTAGGATGAGGGTCTTAAGCCTACGCCCACAGTGACACACCTACTCCAACAAGGCCACACCTCCTAATAGTGCCACACCCTGGGCCAAGCACATATACACCATCACACATCACAGTGTGTCCGTGCTTCCAAATGGTTGGCTGAGGTCCTCAGCATTCCCAGGCTTAAGGCCTTTTGGCTTTGGAACCTGGTAAGAGCCTTTTGTCTCAGGGGCAACAGCAGACAGACCCAAAGCTGGCAACACTCTAGGCCAGCATACGAGTGCAGGCATTGTGACCTCAGCTGTTCCGCATACAAAGAGGTGGTCAGCCTGTCCTTGCCTAAGCCTGTAAGTTACATAGGACGGTGTGGCCTAGTCCCAAGGGACTGTTGTGGGGAGGTTGGGAAGTTGAAGAACACCTCGCCCTTCCATCATGTCAGCCAAGAAGGCAGAACTGAAGAAAACTAACCTGGTAAAGGAAGAGTATTGCTGGGCACAGTGGGACCTCTGTGGGCTCCTGCTGAATGGAGGCAGGACAGAGAGGCCACTGGAAGCCATCCTGTGAGCCTTCCAACTTTCTTTCTTTATTAAGGGGACAAAGCAGCCTCTTTCCTGGAATAGGTGTGAAAGTGGTTCCTAGCTTTGGGGTGGGAAGGAAAGAGGCCCACACTACTCCCATGTAAGATCTACCAATCTTCATGACTGCTCATAGTCCAGGTCCCTGCCAAGGCCTGTGTCTAACTGGTGGATCTAAGACTCAAAATAACCTTGATAGATTAGGCCCACTTTATAGATGAGGAAATGGAGGCCCTGGCACTAAGTAAGATACTCACATTGGTCTTAAAAGAGGGGACAGCTGAGATTAGAACCCAGGTCAGTGTCTTGAAATAACCTTCTGGGGCTTTCCTAAAAGTTATCCAGAAGTACTTTCTCTATCTGCTGGATGGTTACACACATGCTCGTTAGAGACAGATGAGAAGACCAGGTTCAGTGGCCAGAAGCAGGCAGCATGCTGGGGCCATGTGAGCCTGTACTTAAATGCAGATCACAGAGTTGGTTACTGGGGATCTTCCCCCAATCCTGATACATGGCCAACTGTGGCCTCTTCTCTCTGCAGAAAAAGAACTACAAGGCCGTTTGGATGGAACTAAAGCCAGAGCTGACACAAGTAAGCTATTTTGAAGTTATTCTAGCAGCCAGGCCTGAGATCCATGGGGAGGTCACTGGAGACAGGGTCAGCTTCTATTCTTGGTGGCCAAAGCCTAGCCTACGTGTTGGGGTACATAAAAGAGTTAAGTTCCTTGTCTTCATAATTCTTCACCCCGGCAACCAATCAGATACACAAACAACCTAGAATGTCAGCTGTGTTGCCTTTGACACTGAGGATGAGTATTAGGAGACAGGGGTGGCTTGTTTCAGACACATTGGGAAAGGCCTCCCCTGAAGCAAGTACACAAGAACTAGATGCTGGCAAAGCAGAGTCTGAGAAAGAACCTTCTAGATGGAGGGAAACAGCAGCTGAGGTGGGAAGAGGCTTGGCTGTGTAGGGGAGCAGGAGGGCAGGAAATGTTGAGGGCCACTGAGCCGAGGGAGGAGTGGAGCACACTGAACCCACCGAGGACAGAAAAGGGTGGAGGGGACTTCTGCGCAGGCAGGGCCACCAGCTTTTCTGTGTGTCCTGTCTCCAGGGAGGCACAGGATTCAGAGTGATCTCGCTAGCCTCCATAATCCCGCCCACATTGCTGTTTCCAGGGCTTCTGTGTTTCTGTTTCGATCCACAGATATATGATTTCAAAGGATCTAAACAAGAAGGGCTATTCATCAAAAAAGGGATGACTCGGGAGCTGAAGGTCAGTGTTTGGGCCCACACGGCTTAGGGACAGATCAGCATGGTGAAGGGGTGACCAGCCAGCTAACTTCTGAGTGTTGGTACCTACTGGCTGGCACTTGCAGCCTGGAGACTTCACTCACTCCAGGTCTTATTTTTTTAAACCTGTTAGTCTGAAACTATCTGAATTACCCAGAGCTTGCAAAGAATGGCGTAATGGATTCTAGTACGCATTTCACCCAGCTCCTGCCAACACTGCCAGTTTATCGATCACTTTATTCTCTGTTTCTGTTTTCCTTTCTACGCACACATGTGTACACAGAAACATACATACAATACACACACAGTCCTCCATGCCTTTAACTGAACCAACCTGTGATTAAAAATATTTGGTAAAACATTACAGATATTTTTCCATCACGTTCTAAACAAGACAGTATAACAATCCTTTGCATAGCATTTACTTGCATTGTATATTTAAGGGATCCAGGGATGATTTCAATGTATGGGAAGGTATGGAGCGGATGCCAGCACTGGCAGATTTGGGTATCTGCAGGATTCCCCTCAGGTACTGAGGCACTGCTCTGGATACTTCAGGCCTCCCCTCTCTGGATAGTGGGCAGGTGTCTGACCGTATCTCTCTCTCTCTCCTGGGCTCTTCCCTTGGCCTTCATCACAGAAAGTCCTGAGGGAGAATTGGTTAATCCTCCATGGATACCCAGAATTAACGACATCATACATTTTCTGAACCATTTGAGAGTTAAGTTTACCTAAATTTTTAATGTATACTTTCTAAAGTCACGCATGTTCTCCAACTCATTTTTGTGTGTAATTATCCAAATTAAGTCATTAGCAAAGCCTTTATTTTGGTGTTACTAGCTGTCTCATTACTTTAACAACAAAATCAACTGGCCTGGGCGCTAATCCCTGTATTATCTCTAGCCTCTCTCTCTCTCTCTCTCTCTCTCTCTCTCTCTCTCTCTCTCTCTCTCTCTCGTGTGTGTGTGTGTGCGTGCACGCATGCATGTTTTGCCAGTGTAAAGTTGGAGTTTCAAGTAGTTATAAGCCTCCAGATGTTGGTGTTGGGAATGGAACGCAGGTCCTCTGATAGAGCAGCAATCCTTCTTAACTGCTAAGGCATCTCCAGCCCCATTGTGTCTCTTTAGTATGAATTACCCTTTCAGTGATTATCTTCCTGGAAACTGATAGTTTTGAAGATTTATTTTTACTGAGGGACCCTTTTTATTTGTTGTAAAACAAACAAACAAACAAAAAACAAAACAAAACAAAAAAAACCACTTTTATTCTCCAGATGTAATTGTCATCTCCAAGGCTTACTGCCTTAGTCTGCAAACCTATGCCTAGTCCTGGAAGCTTCTAGCCTCCATACAATTTTATCTAGGCTTAGAATGTTTTTAGCCTGTGAGACTTATGCTAAATAAGCTCATCCTTTTCTAGTTCCTTCTGAACTCTGGCTGGCTGGTTCAATTCAGCTGTTTTGGCTGAAACTCCTCTCCAAGCTGACTGATTCAATCTGGATTCTCTCTTCCAGCCTCTCCTGAATTGCTCTGCTTGGCCTCAAACTAACTCTAGCAATCTGCTCTAATCTTCTGGCTTCTTCTCATTCTCCAGCCCATTCTGTCTTTACTTGTGTCTAGCTTGTTCTCTCTCTGCACTGCTCTCTTAAGTGGCTTCCCTTTCCCCTCTCTTCTCATGAGAGTTTGGCATATCCTATTCTGTCAAATCTTTCTCTGATTCCTCACTTTGTCTGCCACTCAATTAGACATCACTGTGCCACCGTCTATAAACTAACTTTCCCTTCATTGTTTGGGATTAAAGGTGTGTACTAAGGGTGCATCTCTATTCCAGACAGAGCGATTAAAGGTGTGTGCTTAGGGCTGAACCACACCACAACTAGAAAACTGTATTTTCAGTAAATGTCACAGTCTCCAGTTTCACACTATGGTGATCAAATATCGTTTGACAACTTGTCTGCTATTTCTAGGTTTAGGCTGGGTTTTTTAGGCAAGCCTTCCAAAGCTATGCTCTTTTCAGTGTGTCTCCTCTGCAGGGCTTCCACAGTCCTTTCCTTTCCTCTATTTCATAGTGCTCCAAGGACCTGCCCTTGTCGACTTCACCGTGTGTCTCACATTTATTTCCCCAGAATGAACTGAGGGAGGTGAGAGAAGAACTCACAGAAAAAATGGAAGAGATAAAACAGGTAACAGGATAAGGCTTCAGCTAGAGAAGAGAAGCAGAGCTTTGAGGCAAATGGAATTACAGGACTTTTGTGGAAAAGCAGAAAACCTAACTTGAACCTGGCCCCCATAGTGTTTCAACCCTGATCAGAGTAGAACATTCTTACTTCTTCTGTTCCTGAGCCCACTTTTCAATTGATTAAGGACTCCTCCCTAGTGTGCAAAAGTTGGTAGTAATGTAACTGAGGCAGTAAGAGTGAAGAAAGGCTAACTAGGAATTTGGAGACAGTCACAGATTACCTATCTTCTTTATGCATCTTATTTCTATGATAGATCACCAATAACTTACTGAGGGAACAGGGCACAAGCAAGAAAGTGTTGATTCAAGCTGTGGTCTGAGCTCTACAGGGAAGCCCTGTCAAAGCTGACGATAGCAATGGCTTGGTGGCACCTGTACCCTTGACCCTTCATAGACTTCTCGGAAATAAAGTGGGTTATATAGCCTATTATCCATCTCTTCCCAATATCTAGCTGCTATCCTTTACTTAAAATGCCCAGAAGGTTCTCTGGCTGGCATCAATAACACACTTTGTGCCTTGTTAAAGCATGCTTTTCTTCCTCATTAGATAAAGGATCTAATGGACCAAGATTTTGATAAACTTCATGAGTTTGTAGAAATTATGAAGGTAAGCTTTCACTGTATGCCTTCCATGGGTTACCTGGGAAACGATGGAAGAGAAGCCAGCCCCCTGCCCTTGAGGTATCTGTAACCCGCTATATAGAATTGGATGCTAAGTTACAGGCTGTCTGTTAGAGATTCAGAAGTAGGAGTAATGAGTGAGTGTGGGGGTTAGGAGAGAAGTCCTTAGAGGAAATGTGAGCCTTAAGGCTTGATGATTATGTTGGGAGCTTAGGATGAACGTACCGAAGGCCCGGTGTGGTCCCCTTTGACTCAGAAAACAAGAAGGATAATTCGGACCACGGAGCAACGGTTTGCAAACGATAGTCTGTTTCAGAATAACATGAAACAAGAGCTCCAGGTGTGAACATTCATATAGGGCCTGAGTTCCCCCCAGTAGAAGCTTGAGAATCCCTGGTATAGATGTATGAACAGCCAAAGGGCAATGGCTCGAGTGTTTTCAAGTCTTCTAAGGGACACCAGGCTTAGCAGATAATTAAAATTCATGATAGTCCCACAGCCGTCAGATCAGGGTGGTCAGGGATAAGCAGAGAAATGAATGCGTGTCCATAATTCTAGGATGGCTTCTTTGACTCTTAGGACAGATATCCTAAGAATCCCCCAGGAGCATATTAAAAACATCCATACACCCAAACTCCATCCTGAACAAAAACATCTTCAAGGTGGAGTTGTTTAGGTACCACAGATGATTTAAAAATGTGTATGTGTGTATCTATATTTGTCTATGTATGTGTGTATGTAGAGGCACATATACACATTAAGATAGTCTTTGAAACACATGCTGGCCTCCAACTTTTGATTACTCCTTCCTTACCCCCCGAGTGCTGTATTGCAGGCTCACCTCCCACACTTGGCGGCTTCGCACAGGATCTGAATGTGTGCTCTCAGACGCAAACCAGGTCCTCCATTTTTAAAAACGAACACATCCATCAACCTGTACATTGACATGAGGTCAGAGAGTCCTGTCTTAACGCCTCACACCCCCTTAAACTCAGGATTCCTCATAACACACAGATCAGTATTTTTGAGGGTGAGGTCCCAGCAAGCAATAATTTAAATTTCTTCAAGGCCGAGAACCATATTTCCATAGGGTTTTTAATATGATAAAGGTGATCTTTTTGGTAGTACATGGGTTGGATCCTAGGGTCTCACAAAGCTAGGCAGTCACTGGACCACTGAGCTGGATTCAATTCTGTGATAAAGAGTGGTTCACAAATGTCAGAAGAAAAGGGATATGTAATGACATAAGAACATTGTTTGACTCTGTGAGAAAAAAACCAATCCACTAGCAATGTTAGCTGAACTGGCCTATAAAGTAAATTTAAAAAATAAAAACCAGTAAGGTTTATAAATCTAATGGATGAAATGTCAAAATATTGATATATTTGCCTATATAAACATTTTTTAAAGAATTAAGGATGGGAAAAAAGCCATATACAGAATTCAAAAACAGTTTGAGGAAATAGATTTCCATAAATGTGGTAAGGGATAAATGTTTTTTAACCTATAAAATATAGATCTCATATAAAACAATGGGAAATAAATGAGAAAATGGGCTTGGACAGACAAGCTAGTGAAAACAGAACAAAGGCACAAAGCACACAGGCAGCTCTGCCCCCACACTATGAGGTCTATGCCACTAAATATCAGGTAGCTAGGGCTGGAGGGATGGCTGAGGGCTCAAGCCACTGCTCTTGCATGACGTCTCAGTTTGGTTCCCAGCACCCACACTGGGTGTCTCACAACTACCCATAACTCCAGCACCAGGGGGATCTGATGTGTCCACCCTTGGGAAGCCCCTGGACAATACACATCCCCCACCGAACACACAACAGCTAAAAAACCTAAGTAATGTAACCATCATACTGAAATAAGCACTGTGGATTTATGACAATAAACTATTGATAAGAATATTAATCTATTGAAAAATGGAATATTAAAAATAGGCACCACTGATGAAATTCTGTTTCTCAGTATTTACACCATGAGACTATTTAAAACTGTCAGCATAAGTATGTTCAATTCAGAATTATTGATAATAGCAAACAGGTGCAACCACAATTTCCAGCAATAGAGGAGTAGTTGAATTATGGTTTATCCATACATTACTATTAGGATCTATTAAAGGCAAAGCTTATAAAGAATGCTTGTCATGAAATATGAGTAAGATTAATAGGCTAATCTCAACTAGGTAAAAATGTAAGTAAATATATAGGAAAAAGATTGGGAAGAAATAAAACAAAAACAAAAACAAAAACAAAAACAAAAACAAAACAAAGGTCTTGAGGGGCAGGCTAGAAGGTTCATTTTTTAAAAAATATTCTCCTGTTTTATCTTGTGTTTTTGCAAAGGGCATGTGCTATTTCTATATTAACATGCAAACACCATAAACATTTTATCAGTAGCCACTCTGGGTATGGAAAGGCACAAAGAAAGCTATTTCAGGCAGGAGACAGCTTGGGCACAGCAGGGGGATGGCTGTGTTTCCCAGTCCATGGGGAGACCAGCCACGGGTAGGGTCATCTGGGGGGAAACGAAAAATAAAACTGCATAGCCACACAGTGAACAATGACGGGCTTTTAGAAACAGCTGACACAGTGAGACTCATCTCAGGAGATTCCTAAAGAACGGACGGACGGGGAGCAGCTGCTGGCAAGGTGGCCTGGGAGGTACGCGCAGATGGGGAAGGTCTGAGACCTCCCCCAGCTGTGATACAGGGGGCACGGAAAGGGGGCCCAGGGAAGAGGGGAGAAGTCAAAGGAGACATGGTGGTTCTTGGTGACAGATTCGGGATAGTGACGTCTTGCGTGTCCATGGTGACACCAGGGTTTCCACCAGGATGGACAGAGGCTGTGGAGAAAAGGACAATTAGAGCGAGGATGTGGGCTGATTTAGAAGAGGAGGAGAGATTGGGTGAGACTAGGAGTAAAGGGCGCCAGGGTGTGCTCAGCCTGAGGGACGTGTCTGACCGGAAGGAGATTTTTGATGCTATTCCCACGTATGTTAAGGTTTACAAATACTCACAGAGCTGTCCTCCTCAGGACACCTCCCCCCTCCCGCGGTGCGAGTGCTTGTCAGCTTTCTACATCAGATCAAACGGGCTCAGAGTCTTTTTACGTTAGAATCGCTTTCACTTGAAGGAAATTATTGTTTATTCATATTTTATGACAACCAGTGCACACCCAGTTCTGTTCACAGTGAATCCTGTCAGTTACAGCTTCTACACCCTAGGGTTTCTTCGTGTCTGTTATTATTTTCCGTAGGTTATTTTTACTTTCTTAGTTCTCGGTGAATAATAAATGAGCTGTCTTCTTTTAACTACTGTCTTCTATTTCATTTTTATGGTTTATTTTTATTATTTTAAATTAGTGTGTGAACGTGTGAATCTGTGTGTGTGTGTGATGTGTGTGATGTGTGTGTGATGTGTGTGATGTGTGTGTGATGTGTGTATATGTGATGTGTATGTATGTGTGTTTGTGTATGTGATGTGTGTGATGTGTGTGATGTGTGTGTGATGTGTGTATATGTGATGTGTGTGTGATGTGTGTGTGTGATGTGTGTTTGTGTATGTGATGTGTGTCATGTGTGTGATGTGTGTGAGATGTGTGTGTGTGTGAGATGTGTGTGATGTGTGTGTGATGTGTGTGTGATGTGTGGTGTGTGTGTGTGTTGGTGGAGAGGGGCAAAAGCACAAGGTGGCCGGAAGCGTTGGATCCCCTGGATGGAGAGTCACAGGCAGTGTGTGAGCTTCCTGACGTGCATGCTGGGAGCTAGGTCTTCTGCACGAGTGACCCCTTGGCCACTGAGGAGCCTTCTCAGCTGTAGCTTGGCTTTGCTTGTTTTATTTTTTGGTCTTTTTACTACAGCAGTGTTGTTTACAAAGGGTGTGTGTGTGTGTCGAACACTGAAGTCAACGAGTCCTTGAGGTCACAACGTACTTTCTTAGCTGCACTGTCTCAGAGGCATCAACTCAAAGCCTCATACCTGGGGTCAGGCAGAACATCCTCTGGCCTCTGGCTGGCCTAGAGGCCATGGTCAGGCTGGTATGCCTCTGCCTGTGGTCTCATCATGGAATTGGGTGGAAGGTGACTGTCAGGGGCATGTTCCATTCACCCCCTCAGCCAAGTCTAGAGAGGATTCCTACAAAGTGTGAGGCAGAAGTGGCTCGGAGGGAGGAGGGGTCTCTGAGCTCTCCAGGAGAGGGGTTCCAGCCTTGGGTTCTCTCTTGAAGGAGATGCAGCAGGATATGGATGCAAGGATGGATGTTCTAATTAATATTCAGAAGAACAACAAGCTGTAAGTGTCCTCCTCATCCCTAAAGACTCCTCCCTTCACTTGGCTCAGTGCACAGGGGTCTCAGAGAGTGCCCTCCTCAAGGAACTATCTCGACTCTACCATGACAATGGCTAGAAGTCAAGATCTTCCATGCACATGTGTACTGGTAGAAACAGTCTCCCCAAATCTCTGCCCCCCTCCCGACCCACCAGTCCCTCTCCAAACAAACCAAAGGAGCAGCAGAAAATGGAGCAGATAGGAAAGATGGACAAAGGCTCCCAGGTCACGATCATGGAAGAACCCGATGGAGTACCTTTGGCTGGTGACAAGATGGTGGTGCCACCAAAAACAACAACTAATCTACTGGAGCCCCTCCATTCATGCCAGAGTTGCTGCGTAAGTGAATTCCTGCCCACCCACCCTCAGTACGGGCTCTGGAGCCCTGGGGTGCTCCTGTTCTGACTTCCCAAGAATTCTTGTCTCACCCTATTGCCGGCCCTTGGATGCATCCCTTAGTCTAGAACCCTTCTGCAGTTGCCTTGCTCTCTAGGCCGTGGTGAGTCATAAGCCACAGTTGTGCAGTCAACTCTTGGAAGTGCCTGCTCCCGAGTTCTGCTCAGTTACTCTGTCGTTTCCTGTAGCAAAGCCTGATGAGGTGCCCAGCAGGCTGGCCAACTCGAACCAAGAAAAAATGATCTTTCTTGTGCCGTTTCTGTCCTCTGCAGGAGAAATGTTTGTTGTGTGCCCTAAAGACCAACTGCAATTGGGGGTAGGTAGATCCATACAAGAAGTGCCTTCTCTCAGTTGGGTGTCTTGTTATCCCAAAGGGAGTAGGCTTCAACTTCCTTTTGCAGCAAACCCCATCTGTGGTTGTACAGGGAATAGGGACTGTAAGTGGATTCTGCCACCCAGCACAACCATAGAGGATGTGACACCAGGAAAGAGGATTTGGGTGGCCAAGGTTAAGGTTGCTGTCCACAAGCTTACTTGGTGGGGAGGGTATACCTTTAACAGCAGCCTCAGCCCGGCCCCAGGTCCCCCACATTTCTTCTACACAGCAGGAGACCTTCACACCATGCCTGGGCGCCTTTTTCACACTTGTCGTCTGGAGCTGCTTTCTGATTTATCTGTATTTCAAGTTTGACGAGATGGAGTATGTGCTTCCGACGTAGCAGAACCATGGAGCCCCCAACAGCTCTGGTTCATCACCTCCTGACTCCCATGAGCTGCACAGCAGGGTCTTCTGCCCTCTTAAACACCCTCCAACCCCCACCCCTGCCCAGGCTTCCACCTGGAGATTAAAGAATTTTGTTTAAAGCAAAAAGACTGTCACCATTATGAGTACCGGCCCAACATTTAGGTGCCTGGAGCATTACTTTGTTTTTGTTTTTGTTTTTTTTTGTTCTAAATCAGCATATTTCAAACCCCAAATCCTCTTCCTCTCTCTGTTGGCTAGTCGAACATTCTGAGTGATCTGAGGCTTGGCTCTCCCCATTCCACTGAGCCCTAAAGAGTTCCAGGTCATAGCCCCAAGGAACCCCCAAAATATAAAGCATCAGCCTGTATAGACTCAAAACACCCACCTGCTGCTCTACCTACTGATCCCCCACAACCTCAGCTCCTTCAATGTTTCTGGATGTCATGGCTAATAAAGGCAACCTCTGAGCCTCAGGTCTGACGGGACTGTGTTGCTCCCCTCTGAGGTGTTATCACTGAGCAATTTGGTGATCTTCTTGGGTTCTGGTGAGGTTCGCCTACTTTCCCCCATGACGGTTTTTAGTTCTTCCCTCCCTCCCTATACTCCAAAAAAGCAATGTCCTTTCAAAGACCTTTACAAATTGGAGATGAGCTGGGTATGGTGGTGCTTTCTGGGATGACGTGGGAGACAGAAGTAGGTGATTTTTATGAGTTCAAGGCCAGCTTGATCTACAGAGTGATTTCTAGGCCAGCCAGAGCTACACGATGAGGCCCTGCCTTAAACAAACAAACAAACAAACAAGCTATGCCCACCTCAAGTCCCTAAGTAAGAAAAGATAAAACCGATTGCTAGCCTGGAATGAGAAAATGGTAATTTAGTGCTTATCCCATGGTGAGTCTTACTCTCTGGCTTTGGTTTGACAGGCCTCTGTATCCACTGCACACCAGCCCTTCCATCTTTTTACTTTGCTGAATGCTTCCCCTTGTAGACAGCTTGTTAATCAGCCAGCTTTGTAATGACAACAGAGTAACACAAACACATTCAGTGCCTTGGATGCACATTTTGGAAACAAAAGCCAAAGCACAACGTGGGCCTCATTATTCCAAAGAGTTTGTAGTGTGAAAGGAGCTATGGTAAACACATGCCACATGCTATACATTGTACAGTATCCATAAGAAAGCACGGAAACCAAACAAACCGGAGGCAAACCAGAGACGGCAGAGCCCGCCTTGTCCCGCCTTGTCCCGCCTTGTCCTGCTCTTCCCCATTAAAGTCACCACAACTGGAATGACTTACAGCAACAAACAAGAAATGAGTGTCACTGAGACTTTCCTTTACTGCTGGAAGGAAACTTTGGGGGAGAACCCGCCCTTATCTTTCCTAGACTTAACACCTGCCTCCCATCCTCAAAGCCAGCTATAGCTGGTAGGATCTGTCTCAAGTTGTCTGAGCTAACACATCTCACCTCCCTTTGGGTTTCTCTTAAAGACCCTCATGATCACATTGAGCCCACCCAGATAGATCACCCAGAGCGTTCTCATTGTACTCAGCGTTTAGCAATCTCAGTTCCTCACTGCTACCTAATGGAACAGAAGGCTAGAACTTGTGTGGTTTTGGAGAGCACGCTGCCTATCATTGTGACATCTCAGGCCCTAACCCCTGCAAAACGACCAAATCCACAACACTGTGAAATGGTGCGCTGTTCTTTAGGGTAGTGGTTTTAAAAGAGGCCCACATTTTCCATTGCTACTCTTTCACTAAAGGAATCTAACTGTCCCCCTTCCTCAGTGGGCTAGGGGTAGTCACTAATCAATAGGACGAGGCAGAGATATTGCAGGTTACTTTGGAGACCGAGTGGTTTCCTTCCTTTTGTCTAGCTACCCTCAGAATTCAGTTGCCATGCTTTGAGGACACTGAAGCTGTCCTATGGCAAGGGACTGAAGCCCTCTGACAAAAGGCCCCTATCAGACGATACGAGAAGCAGGTCTAGAACTGGGAACGTAGCTCAGTTGACTGTTTTACCATGCAGAAAGGGCTCAGGTCCACCATACAGCATAAAGCTAGCCCCATGCACCCTTGAGAATCTCTCCAACTCTTTTATAAGGGCTTCAATAGCCCATTCACAAGGGCTCTGTCTTACAGAAATTGTTTTAGACAATTCATTGCCTATTAGACAGTTATTGGAGAGCTAATCACCTCTGAAGGCATTGCCTGCACATTCCAGGGGCAGGTAAACATCTAAATTACAACATCTCTCTACTTCTGCACTGTGGACAACCTCTAAGATCTAGCCCATGACTTGTCACTGTTTTCTATGGACCTGCTTATCTTCCTTCTTGGGATACTGAAGGCTGAAACTGTTTTTCTCAACCCCAAGGCCCCAGAACGAACACACCGCTCCCTGAATGAATATGTAGTATTTGCTCAGCATCAGTCTTCCGAAGGTCAGAAGTTAGAATTCAGATTAACACTGAAAGAAATCAGACTGGTTCTAGTCTAAGGCCTATATTAATTAATGGCAGAAAAAGAAAACTGGCCTGGAACAAAAGAGAAAGACCCCATGACCCTACAACACAACCCCCAAGTCATGTTCTTCATTTATAAAAACAAAAAAACAAAAAAACCTTTCCCCCCTGAATCAAGTGTCTATAATCACAATTGGATTCGTTAGGAAATGTAAGCCCTCAGCTTACTAATGTTCATCTGCTAGCTTACTCATCCTGGGATGGTTGCAGTAGGAATATAAAATTGTCTGAGTGGAGCCAACGTTTACTAGAAAGAAGAATGAACTTGAAGCCATGATCTCAAGTCACAGTCTCTGGCAGGTGACCCTAATCCTCAGGATTCAAGCCCTGACCTGTCCCCGAGGCTCTATCCACCCGTCTCTCTGGAGTCTCTCTGTCCTGTCACACACCATACAGTCAGAAATAAATTGTCCCACCTGTGTCCCCCAAATCTCCTCTAGGCTCAAAGTCCCAACAGGAGTCCTTGTCCCCTCTCAGTTTTCTGACAGCCGGAGCACAGGTGGATCCCTTGCCGGCTCTGGTTGGTGGTCCCCAGCAGGATTTCCTTTAGCCCATCTGTTTACCTGTCTACTTGGTGTCCTGGATGAGACATCCAGGAGACCTGGAGTGTTATAGAGTGCTGAGTCCCCCCTGAGCAGCTGGGCCCAGCACTCCTGTCCAGAGCTCATTGGGTTATTCTGAGGATTCCTGAGAAGGTGAATAAAGAACAAAGCCCAGCATGAGCTTGTCAGAGAGCGATCCTTCCTCTGTAGCATCCCATTACCCTTTGGTCTCCCCCATAACTGACTGAATCCTTCACACGTTTACTTTGCTAAGGACCAAACCCAGGCTTTCCATTGAGCTACATACCAAGCCCAGTGAGCTATCTCTGAAAGCTCTGAAGACTTTTCCTAGAAGAGCTGAAAGTAAGAGAAGACAGGAACAACACAGAATCCACTGGTCACCGTCCACTTCTGCTGTTGGTTGGTTGTATGAATGAATGCATGCATTTGCAAAGCATGTCGGCGCCACTTGGTCATTCAGTCTTCACATTTTCTTTCTTTCTCATAGCAAACAAGCAAGTTCCACGGGACTCCCTCTACCCATGTTTTGTTTTTGAGACAGTGCCTTATGTCGCTCAAACTAGCCAGAGACTTGGCTGTGTAACTGAGGCTGGTCTGGAATCCCTGATCCTCCTTCATCCACCTCCCAGATGCTGGGATTACAGGCATGTACCATCATTCCTAACTCCATGAACTCTCTCAATATTTCATAGGTCTATCGCCAAAGATCCTCCCCCCATATACCCACATATACCCTAATCCAAGTTCTAAGCATCTATATTCTGAATTACAACTATTTCTGGTCCATTCTGGTCAACTCAGTAATTTTTCCCTCCAAGCTTGCAATCCTTGTACCTACCATCGCACTGTCCAATACACCACCCCTAACTGATGCTTTCTGTCAAGTCACCCCCTTGCTCAAACACCTCCAGAGCTCAAGGCATATAGAACAATGACATTCCTCATAACTTCCCCCTCAACACCTTCCATTTCTGACCTTGGGTTTCTGCCCTGTCCCTCCATTCCTATCTGTAAACCTGCTGGATCCTTCCCACATTCTTGCTTTGCTCGCCTCATCCGCTCACCCCTGTAAAATCCCTCTTGCTTCCCTCTGTCTCCACTCAGTAGGTTATCTCTGGAAGAACTCATATTGCTATCCTCTGTCCCCAGCATGGAGGTCACACCCGTCCTTAGTAAATGCCGAGGGATTGCTGTCTGAACTTTTGCTGGCTAGCTTGTGAAGTTCATGTATCAACTCAACTCTTCCTCCTGCACCTGAAGTCTGTTGCCTAAACACCAGGGGCACTCCCAAAAGAGGTCTATATGCCAGCAGGGGCCTTTTGCCACAGGGAGTTCTCTAAGACTTGACAGGCTTAGAGAGATTGCACAGAAACTACCCATTCTGTTCCAACATATACAACAGTGTCCTGTGCTCAGACTGGACGGTGGGTTGAAGATGTTCCTACTAGAAGCCAGTTTTAAGAATTAGAAGAAGGCCATCAAGCCAGTCTGACAACATGAGTACAATCTCCAGGATACGAACGGTAGGAGAGAAGAGACTCCTGCAAGCTGTTCTCGGCTCTCTACATACAAGTTGTGGCATGTGTACATCTGCAGGCACACATAGAAATAAACACAATAAAAATGTTTAGGGGAGCCAGGCAGTGGTGGCACACGCCTTTAATCTCAGCACTTGAGAGGCAGAGGCAGGTGGATTTCTGAATTCGAGACCAGCCTGATCTACAGAGTGAGTTCCAGAACAGCCAGGGCTACACAGAGAACCCTTGTCTCGAAAAAAAGAAAAAAAAATAAAAATAAATGGGGAAAAACTAGAGGTCAATACGGGAATTGCTGCCAGGGGCAGCCCAGGCACCGTCGCTTCTGTGTATCTGCTGTGTAGTCCCTTTCCTTTTCTGGTTTTGAGGATAGTTAGAGAGCAGGGAGGGGCTCTCCCGATCCCTTGGCCTTTCCCAAGCTTTCCCACCCAAGCCCCACAACATCCAGATCAAGGGCATCGAGACAGGTTTATGTTGAGAGGTTACATCTTCCTGACT